TGGTGAGGGGTCTTGCTCCGAGGCTGGTGTAGGAGGGGTCCTGACTGCTCTGTGGGGTGCTTGGAAATCAGCCTGCCTGCTTGTGGCAGCTAGCTCTCTCACCTACAGCCCTGTGCTTATGGATAGGGGTAATTTGCAGTGTGGTTTGGGGAGATTTTTGAGGGAGTTAGGATTTTTTTGGGAGTGTTTTGTGAAGACGTTTCTTAATCCAGAGCAGAACTTACCATTTAGTCACGTGAGCCAAGACTGTTAGGAAGATCTGAGAAGCGTGATAATCTTTCTTTACTATAACGAGAGCCTTGTCAGGATTCCTGATGTCTGCAATTGAGAGTATGATTGGAACATCAGTTTCTGACCACCTGGTCGCATAGTGGAAGATATGTTTCTCAGACCACATCTGAGAAGCAGATAGTTTTTCCAGGGGTTAGATTTTAGTGTACAAGGAAAAATTTTCTGCTCACAAGGAGATTAACAATTAAACCATTGACTGTGAAAGTAAATTGAGAAAAATGTTGTGCTGTTTAGATTTTCTTTATTGTCCTTTGAAGAAGAGAGTGAGCTTGCTAGTGAGTGTGCTCTTTGCTTTAAAGTGGCTGATTTCTTCACACTGCAGTATTCTTGGATGTCAAACAAGATTTTTGTTGCAGTGGATGTTGTGTTGAAAGCTATGACCCTGGGATCACTGGAGGAAATGTGGCAATCTGTACCTTCCTTGTTAGAGCCACTCTTTAGATTGTGATTGAAACATGAAAATCAGTCTCCTGTCATATGATTCTTAATGTCTTCTGATGTACTTCTTCTCCCACACACACACCCCCTCCAGCTTGTGCTTTTAGAAGTAAGAAATACTGTTTTGATTAACTTTTGACTAGGACACACTGAGTAGCCAGCCTGGCTCTGCTTTGCAAATGTCGTGTAATAATTCTTCCCATAGTGACTGTAACTTCTATTGTGTGATATGAATTTACTCTAGCATGTATTATGAAGAGATAGGAAGGGTGTTACTAGTGCTAAATGTGCTTAAGAGCAAATAAAAAGAAGTGTTGTTGGGGAAGATAATAGCAGGTGTGCAAGGAATTATCACTGAAATTAATTCAAAACATGCTTTAAATTGTTGTCAGACTGAGTTTGCATTGTGGAAACCATAACCTATTTATGATACTCTGTTTCTTAAGCGTATACGTGGTAATGTAATTTCTAACTACATGTCACCTTCTCTCTGTTGTATGAGAACTGTAATTAATGTAGCTGAAAGTTTACTCTGGGGTTATAATATGTCATCCTGTGGTTATTTGGTGTCAGTGTAGACTTGGTGCATAGCCTGCTTACTTCCCTATAGCGAGCCATTGACTGAGAATTGAGATATATAAAGTTACTTCAGTATTGAGCAGGCAAGCCCTGCATATTGCTGATGGTTTTGTCAGCAACTTTAAGATTGCAAAACTTATGTACAACTCGTCTTAAAATTAGTTGGAGAAGTCTGAAGAATTTATACTCTTTTAATCCAGGTTTATCTGCTCACTGGTTTGTTACCAGCGCAGGTGAGCCATATTCTACTGTATACATGGTGTTAAGAAAAGAAAGCCAGATCACTTAAGATGATTTTACGTTGGCAATAAAATTCAAGACTTAACCACTGCTGAAATATGACCCACAGGGCATTTTCCAAATCAACGCTTCGGTTGCAGTGACCTTGATCTTTTTGTGGGTACATAGGGAATACAATTCATCGTTTCTTGGCATGATAAGCAGGTCATTTGTGACAAGACAGTTTAACTTCCTGTACTTTCGGGTTTCAGAACAGGAGTGGTTGTTCTGTTGAGAATATATACTTTGTTATAATGTTTCTGGAACATTTTGGATCTGCGTTTGTTTTTTAACTAGGTCAACAATTCTGGTATCTCCACTGAAAGTTCTCTAGCACTAGAAATATGTCTTGCGCAGCACGTATTTTTGTCTCAAGCTGTCTGTATCTTCACTTGACTGTTTTTCTATGTATGTTATGGCATAGTGTCTTTTCTCTCAAAATATTTGTTTCTAAAATTGCACAACTCTGCCTGAATTCTTAAGCTTTATTGATCTATAATAAACCTTTATTTGGTAAAGTTCTTGTGTATATAAGTATGCCAAACAACAAACGTGTTTTGTACTTTCAAGCATAACATTAATAAATGCATATCTATCACAAAACTAAAATCTTTGAGAATTTTCACTGTTTTCTTTGTGAATAAGTTTATCATACTCCAGCCTTTGAGTGAGTAGATAAACATTACATCAGTGTTTTAAAAAAAGACACGCAAGAGCTGTCTGAGGTGAAATATTTCTTGTAAAGATCCTGACTGAATACTAAGTATCATTCTCAGTGACGCTCACAGCCTTGGGAGAATGGGAAGAAACTGGAAATAATTCCTCATAATTGTCCGAATCAAGCTGCATCTGAAGGTTGTCCCAAAAGAGAGAGGTGGAATAACCTAGTATAAACAACTGTAGTGACAAAAATCTCCTGAAAACTTTTTTCTCCATCCTTCTCTCCTCTCTAAATCTCATCCTGTTTTGAAAAATAATCATTACTTTCAGGAGAAGAAAAGGTATTGTTGACCTATTAAAATCTCATTTCAGACTGACTGCATTTCTGACTGCAGCGAATTTTCTTTACCATCTAACCTAGAAACTTTTTTCCAGTATTATTCTCTTTTATTTAGGTGTGCTGTTTGAGGATCGTAGAGGTAAGAGTTTGTTAGCTTTATGGCTATTGTCATATTTGCTGCACATAACGTGATGATCTTAGCCCAGTGAATCAAATATTTTTTTACCATCGCAGTTACAGAGTTACAGGTTTTGTGTGTGGCTTCATACAGACACAGACACATGCAGTCATAGTATTTTGTAGGCTTCTGGTGTTTAGAAATTGACAGGAGGGGTTACCTGTACTGTGGAAGCCGCATGATCTTCTTTCTTAGCAGTTTAGTTTAAATTTACTGTGAGGTAAACACAAAACACAAATGATTTGTTTACTGTTTTGTCAGTTATTCAGGAATTCTAGAATTAAGACACTTCACTGCATTATGGAAGATATGGGTTATATTACACAGACCCAGCTTCTTCATTTCTACAGCTATTTTTAGATTTTCTTTCTGCTTCAGTGAGACGAGAAATGTCTGGGAGGAGACAGCCTTTGCTATATAATTGTATGGAGAGATGAAATCTGACCCTGGCATCAGGATGTTATGTTGTGCTGCGTGTTTTGTGGTGCTGCCTTAGCAGGACTCTAGGTATTGATGGGAAGAAGACAAAACTTCAGTCAGTTTCTCATGTGTTTTTCATTTGCTCTTGTCTCACAGCAAGTGCAGCTGTGGCAAGTGTTATCACATGTACGTCTGTTTCTGTCTAGAGCATACTTTTTGAGGCCTACATCGTTAGTCTACTGGTGTAGCTCCAGATGCTTATCTTGGTGATCAAGTCCTAATAAGCCCATTTGGTTCTATTTTAGCAGCCTAATTTATTCTGAGGTATGCATGGTAGCTGTATGAGTTTGGTTTGAGTGAGCAACAGTAGAACCACCTGAGGGAGTCCTCTCACACAATGTGCCAGGGAAGGTGGGAATGGAGTCTGTGCACCTGGCTCCGCACACCAGTGACGTTCAGCCTTCCTGGCATCCTGTACTGCCAAACAGACTTTCCTGTCTCATCCCACAGAACCTGGCTCTGCTTTGATTATGTTGTCAGTCTCAGAATTGCTTTGCTCTTGGATGTGAGGCAAGGACATGGTAACAGTAGGTTTCTAGGGCTTATCGTATCTTTGGATAGGATGGCAGGCTTTACTGCAAGGCTGGCTGAGTTACAACAGTAAGTTAGTATCACGAATAGTAGTGTTCCATTTTCCTATTTTCTTTTGAAATGAAGCTCTTACCATTCTGTTGAAGGGTTGCCTCTATGATTTACTCATAGTTTTCATGGCCTTTTCCCCATTGATTCCCACTTACTCTTTTCTCTATCCTAAACCTTCCTTAGAAATTGCTTTGGAACATTGGTTTCCTTGAAAAAAGGAATATTAAGTGCTGTGAATAATTCTTTTTACCTATTATCATACTAGAACAACAGATAAGAGTCCCTTGATTAACTCATATGGCCTAACAAATAGTTTGTCATGGTTCCTTTTTGTTTGTTTGTTTTTTTTCAGTAGGCTGTTGTTCCACTGTTGTATAACTACAGTGTTCAGATGGAGAACTCCAGGGACCCAGATGCTGACTAATTCCTGTCATCAATTTAGAAGTAAAAATGGGGGATTGCTCATAGAGATTTTCTGTTTCCATTCATTGTGGAAATTATGCCTTGTTCAGAGCCTGCCTTTTTTGACTCCTTAGTTTTTCCCTCTGACTGGTATTACCTGTCAAGATAAATAACTTCTCTTTTCACCCACTCTTGTTTTCTTTTGTGTTACCTTCAACAGGAAGTGTCAGCTAAGTAGTAATATTATTGATCAACTGAAAATTTAGGAAAAAAAATCCTGTTAGTCTATGGAAATTGATAAGAATCGTGAACTTAGATTTCCTGTATGCATAGCAGTGTGCTTAGCGTAGATTCTTAAAGATTTTCACTTGTTATTAACAGATTTTCTTAGATAGGAGAAAATACATTATGTCTAGACTAGGTCTTAAGAATGACAAAAGGTATCTATTTTGTCTTAGAATTTCCTTTATCATTTTTATAAAAAATTTAGATCTTAGTTTTCTGTTAGTCTTCAGGTATTTTCAAAGTGCAGAATTATTTGATGTTTTGCACTGTATTTTAAAGAAGAATGTTACTGTTTACATGTATGACAAATCTTTACGGAGGAACTAGTATGAGCTGTGTATACAAGTCCTGTCAGAAAGCTCCATTGGTCCCATGTCATTATTAATTGTAGGCACAGGCAGCTTTAAAACATCTGACTGAACAATACTGGAATTTTAATGAGACACATGCAATATTGTCTATTTCAGTTGTTAATTTTGTGCACAGGGCAACAGGGACCTTGGAGGCTGGGACATTCAACTGAACTACATAACGAAATTTAGCAGTTACTGGAGATTAGAACACAGGGAATTGTGGGTGGAGAGTGAACCATCAGGACAGCGGTCAGTGGTAAAACAATTGTTTGAGCTTCCTGTTACCGGTATGTTTTAAAGATGCTTAAAGACACTCTTCTTTAAACTTTGCACTAGCACCCACAGTGTTACTGCTTGTACCAAGTGAGCTGTTTTCTTTGACCGTGTAGTGTGCTTTCCTTCCTGTACCTATTTTAATGCTTTCTTTAAGTCATTGACTTGGTAAAAAAAATACCTGGCTGACTTGCTGTAGCTCCCTTCCTGCATCTTTTGCTGCCTTCCCTCCTGTTAAGTGGGTGCATTTGTTGCAGGGAAATCATTGTTGGCGTGCTACCAACTGAGAACACAAACAAACTTGAAGCATTTCTGTTCCAGTAAAATATGAGATTGACAGTGTTATATAAGCAACAACAAGAATTTAAAAAAAAAAAAAAAACCAAAAAACTTTTTCCTTCAAGTAAGCTGTAAGGGAATCTTCATCTTAGACCATATTTTCTGAAATTTTTCAATTGGAAACAAAGCAATTTTATTAGGCCTCCATGGCTATTGGTTTGTATTCATCTTGATTTGAAGTACGACCTGTTCTCAAGTTACTTTGGGAAATAAACTGATGAAAACTATTTCACTGTAAGTATGGAGAGAGGGCAAGAAAAGGGGAGGGAGGGATTGACTCCAAATGATCAATTACAACCAGTAATCCTCAAATAAAACACTAAAATAAAATCTCTTAATTCTAAGCAGATTTAGTTACAATGTTCAAATAAGACAATATATGAATAAAATATTTATTTTAAAACAAAGTCAGGACCTATACTTTCAGTGTTCAAAATGCACAAGAAAGTCTTAACTCAAAGTTTGAAGAATTTCAACTTCATTGTTTTGAAACTAAGTCTCAAAGTATATTGCAGGGACAGGGATAGATATTGGAAAGTTAGAGGGAAGTGGAAAAGGGATTTGAGCTTGTGCTGATGTTAAATAACATCTTTGATCTGGCAAGAGCTCCTTGCAGTTCAGATATCTCAGCATCTGAGAGTGCAAAAGATATCCAGAGCATTGAAAGCAGCAGCAAAATCCCCTGCAGCATCTGCTTTGCTGGTGGAGAAAGGAAGAATTGCCTGATTGCCTCTGCCCTGCCCTGCCAAGGCAGACTGATAAAATGTGTGCACATTTTTCAATAGATAGTGGGTTTTTTTAAGCCTATATTGCTTGTCCTACATATTGCTTTGTTTCAAAAAGTAGTTTAAAAACCAGGTTGGCAAGGAAGGAAACACTTCCAGCTTCCTTTGAGATCTGGAAAGCATCCCTCAGTTGCTACAGCTTAAACAGCATGGAAAGAGTACAGAAGCTTGACCTCTTTGTTAGTTTGGGGTTTGGGTGCAGCTTAATGTCATTCATTTGTTGCTGCCACTTGAGCGTATCCTCTAAGCAGCAAGAAAAAAATGGCACAGCCATAATAGAGATTAATGGGACAATATGAAAAAAAATTTAAAAACAAACAAAAAACCACTCTACAATAGCTCTTTGGAGAATCTAAAGGAAAAAAAAATATATATATATACATACATATTTAAAATTTCTTTCCTATCAACTATTAGAGACAAAAAAAAAAAATGTAGTAATCCTAGCCATTACTGTATGCATACTTAAGCATAACAGATGCATTATAATATGACATAGCATACTTAGTTAAGACTTTGTGTACACTTCACTTCTTTCTTTTTTTTCTTTTTTTTTCAGTAATTTTTCCCCCTCTCCTTAAATGGTAGTCTGAGCTTTGAGGCAAGTTAGTTAAAATTCAGACATTAACACCTGCACTCATTTTCTTTCTCTTCCTGTGGTTTTATTTGCTTTAAGTAATTGTGAGAGCCTTGTTACCACACTTCCTGTCTGAAGCTATAACAAACAGTATGCAGCTAGAGGATATAGAAGGTTGACCCTTGAAAGAAACTTAATAGAACAGTGGGCTGTTCTTAACCTACATAATTAATAAGTAGCTTTATTACAACTGTACTCTCCACAGAATGCAGTGTATCCCTTTTTGGATCAACTCAGGTAAATTCTCTCTAATTCCTTTTTGCTAGTAACTCTGAAAAGCTTAACTGGGAAAATGTCCGATTCATTTTTTATCCTTTCATATTTCCTGCTTTTTTGTTAGCCTAGAAAATTTATTTCTAGTTTAATAAGATAAACTACTGATACTATAACAAAATGTGTTTCCACCCTTCAGTTGCTAACATAGTTTTTGCACTTTCCACCTTTGTGACTGGTATTTAACAGTAAGCAATACATTATCTTTTTTGTTTTTTTTGGCATTAGATCAGCTTCTGTGGAATAAATTTGGAAACCAGCAAGTTCATTTTCATTATTCCACTTTAAATAATGATGCATCCTTCTTTTTATGTATTTGTTTTTCTATACTTCTTATAAATGGAGTAAAATAGAAGTTATAGGTAAGATATAAGACACTTGAAACATAACAAAGAATTCTGGCATGGTAGTTTTACATGCTCTTCTAATATGAATTGTGTGCTATAAAATATGGCTTTGTGTTCGGAAAGTTCAAAGTGGAAAAAAGCAAGTAGATGTTTCGACACCGATCACTATTTTGTCCTTGTAGTTCAGACAGAATAAGCACACTGGGCTTTCAGCCTGAGCTGTGTGATATTCTGCTTCTCTGAGCATCAAAAACCTATGTAAAGAGCAAAAATGAGAAGTAATAGTGCTTTTTTTGAACTGCATGCTTCAACTGCATTCAAACAGCCCAGGTACTGTCTGCTTGATCTGGCAGGTCTACAGAGATGAATATGTTCTTCGCATGATGCCATGTTAACAGCTGGATAATGTGACAAAGCAGAGAACAAGCTGTGAGGTGTTGTTTCAGAATCTTACAAAATGTGTTCAGATTTGCGATAGTCCAGGTCTATAGAAACACTTTATAATCAAATTGTTGAAGGACTGGTACTGCATAATTGCCCAGCTTGTAGATGTAGGTCAGTGTGATCATCTTTTTCTTTCCAGTAATTTGAAAAAGCAATTTTCCTGTTTCAGTGTGTTCTTTAGAGGCTCTGGTAACAGCATAAGATCAAGAGTCATGTTGTCAAGTGTCAGTATCTCTTCTTGCCTTCAGCATTTTCTTTCCATTTTGGTGCAGCAGATTTGTGTCTGGTCTTTTATATTAACTTGTCCACTGTAAAGAACACGTGCATAGCAGAGTGAAGTATATAAAATTCCTTCACTCTAATAAATACCTGTGAATGTTTTTTTACCTTTTAAAGGATGCAGTTACAGTCAGTTTTCTCCAGAGTTCTGAGATGTTTTTCCTCTTTCTACCTTAAAAAAAAAATTAGAAGAGAATTGATAGAAAAAAATGCTTGTTACTAAAGCAATAACAGGTTAATTTTGGCATTCAGTTGCTCTTCACACAGGATCAAAGTCAGTTTTAGAGAGAATCATGTCTGTGAGGATTCAAGTCCAGCACAATGAGTGTGACTGGGTTGAGGAGGTCTTCTGCACACTTGAGTGTTTTGTAACCAGGAAAAGCATTCAGGGCTCAGAGTAGCATAGCCAATCTTTTCAGGTTTGTTCTCAAGGCTTCAGGTGAGCACGGTGCTTAAAGCTGCAGCAAGCAGGAGAGTGTGCTAGCTGCTAGCATGGAACTGAGCAGGCTGGTCAGCAGAGGAATTTCCATGGCTTTCCAAGAGCATGGGAGAAAATTATCCCTCTGTGAAAATACGAACTTGATATGCAAAATGTGGAGTTTGTCAAAAGAAGTTGTGAGAAATTTATGTGATTGTTAGAACTTCAAGAGCTGCACATAAAAATTCTGCATCACTTGCCCAACAAGAGAAGACCAGTGCAAGACACTTGTTTATATAGTTTATGCAGACTGAGGTGTATTAAGCTTCAGAGTGCTGTAAGTTTGAGTACTTCATTTTTCAATTGCTCTTAATTTGAGTAGCTAGAGTTAGGAGAGAATTGCTCCATTTCAGAGCAGCTTTGGAGTCCATCTTCTGAATAGCAGAAGCCTTAATTTTAAGTAGAGATAAGCTATACAGTTACAGGATAAAAAAAAAAAAAAAAGAGAGTTAATTTTATATGCATTTCCGAAATTAACCATGTTCTAATTCCAGTTTTGTTACATACTGAATGAAGTACAGAAAATAATTACATAGGATGCATATTCTGAGATTGGGGACTGGGGGAGCAGTGTGTTTTCTTACAAGCTTTATGTTATACTCTTACTGTTTGAACTCAATCAAACCTTCACTGACTAGAAAAATTGAGAAAATTATGTGACTTTACCTAATTATGACATTAGAATTTCCTTACAGACCTTTAATGTTTAAAGTTATTTGAAGTATTACAGTATTACATTTCACATTGTTGGTTGATTGTTCCCATGTTTTATTGTAGCTTTGTGACACTTGGGGTTTTTAGATGGTCATTTTGGGGGTAGAAAAGATCTTCTTCTAAGTAGTGAAAATAAATCGTATTAGCAGTGTAATAAGGCCTCTTTTTGAAGTAAGATTGACAAAATAGAGATTATGTGGAAGGATTATTTTTTTTAGCTGTTCAAATTGCTTTGCTTTGTATAGTATTCATTATAAAGAAGCACGGTAAAATATCTTTCTTTTTTCTATTCTGATAACTAGGTAAGAAATGCATATAAACTTATTTTAAACACTACTGAGATCTCTTTCACAGCTAGAAATAATTTCGCTGGTGTTTCTTATTTAGATGGTTTTATCACAGCATGTATTTATTTCTTGAAGACCCTCCTTTAGTTTCTTGAAAGGTAAGAAGTGGAAGGGCTACCTGGAGGCTTTCAACTTAGTACAGAAAAGGTACTGCTCCTTCTCTGCATGTGCATGATAGCCAACAGGACTGGAAAGTACCTGTCTTGTGGCTGCATGGTACAGTACCTTGGCTTGTGTGCAGTAAATTAAGGGCTTCATTTGTATTGTATGTAGAGAATTGATATAGACAGCTGCTAAGTGGGCCTCCTGTACGACAGAATCAACTCATCCACACCCATTAAAAATTGCCTCACTGTGTGTATATACACATAGATGTACCTAGTATACCCATTTACAAGAAAGGTCGTAAGGAGGATCCGGGAAACTACAGGCCTGTTAGCCTGACCTCGGTGCCAGGGAAGGTTATGGAGCAGATCGTCTTGAGGGAGATCATGCGGCATGTGCAGGGTGACCGGGGGATCAGGCCTAGCCAGCATGGGTTCATGAAGGGCAGGTCCTGTTTGACCAACCTGATCTCCTTCTATGATCCAGTGACCCATCTGGTGGATGAGGGAAAGGCTGTTGATGTGGTCTACCTAGACTTCAGCAAAGCCTTTGACACTGTCTCCCACAGCATTCTCCTGCAGAAGCTGGCAGCCAGAGGCTTGGATGGGTACACTCTTGGCTGGGTAAGGAGCTGGCTGGAGGGCCGGGCACAGAGAGTGGTGGTGAATGGAGTCAAATCCAGCTGGCGACCAGTCGTGAGTGGTGTTCCCCAGGGGTCGGTGCTGGGGCCTGTCCTCTTCAATATCTTTATTGATGACCTCGATGAGGGCATCGAGTGCACCCTCAGTAAATTCGCAGATGACACCAAATTGGCTGGAAGTGTGGATCTGCCTGGGGGTAGCGAGGCCCTACAGAGGGATCTGGACAGGCTGGAGAGCTGGGCTGAAGCCAATAGGATGAGTTTCAACAAGGCCAAATGCCGGGTCCTGCACTTCGGCTACAACAACCCCAGGCGACGCTACAGGCTTGGGGCGGTGTGGCTGGAGGACTGCGTAGAGGAAATGGACCTGGGGGTATTGATTGATGCTGGGCTGAACATGAGCTGACAGTGTGCCCAGGTGGCCAAGAAGGCCAATGGCATCCTGGCTTGCATCAGAAACAGTGTTGCAAGCAGGAGCAGAGAGGTGATTGTTCCCCTATATTCAGCACTAGTGAGGCCGCACCTCGAGTACTGTGTCCAGTTTTGGGCCCCTCACTGCAAGAAAGGCATTGAGGTGAACGGTTGGACTGGATGATCTTTTAGGTCTTTTCCAACCTGGGTGATTCTATGATTCTATGATTCTATGATTCTATATCCCATGGTGTCCTAAACTACTTCATACTGTGAGAAAATGCATACAAATAATAATGCATAGCTATACACAAAGGAAATTTGAATGAATCTAAATAAAGATGCAGCCATCTTTAGAATTTTTTAGGATTACATATGTAAAAATTTCAAAATGCTCTCTATTTCATTTCTCTGCAAACCAGTGTATGATTAATGGCAAGGCAGATGATTTCAGTGAAATCTGAGAGGAATTTTTATTGCAAACTTAGTGAAAGAAACTGGGTTGGAGATTAGCCAATAAAGATTATTATAGCAAAGGAGTGACTGGAATCTGGAGCCTCAGTTGTTCCACGTGAGGAATTTTGAAGGTTTAAGGAAACAGTTTCAAGCTCTACAAGTAATCTCCTATTTTTGAGGTCAACTGTACATGTAGCAGTGGAACAGACAGAATGAAAATAAAGCCATTTTGTTTTGACCAAGTTTATCCTTTTTGCAGATTTTTTTTGTTTGGATTTAGGAAAGCTTGTTTTTTGCTTGACAGCTGTGTTACGTCCTTGCTCTCTGAATGGACTGGGTAAATTTTCAATGAAAATAAATTAAGTGCCAATAGGCTGAATTCCGTAAGTTAAAGGGGTGTATAGTCAATTGTGATTTTCTAAAACAACATTAGAAAACTAGAAACAGATTGAACACTGAGTGCCAAAAGATTGGACACAAATCCATTATACTGCTTCATTATAAAAAACTAGAATCTAAGCCTCATTTGAATTTCTAATATATGACATTTTGTGTAGTTTTTGAAGAAATTAGTATGTGAGTTGTTTGCTAGCATCTCTTCATTCAGTAGTCAAGATATTACCACAAAATCACTGGTATGGGTGGCTCTCTGGGAGTATGAAATTCAGTATGCTATTTCTTTTTAATATAATGTTCTTCTGTTTTCAGGTTCACATAACGCTAGGGACCAAAGAAGCATAAGTAACATTTCCATGGTGCTGGGACCAGTCTGTTGAGAGAAGATTTCTGAAGTAACTTTTTAACTACATCGTGTTTGTCCTGAGAGTATCTTGAGAGAAGAGTTCAAGAAAGGAAAAATTCCCACATCAGAACCATCACAAATAAATCTATTTAAAGAACTTGCGACCTGGGGATACTTTTATAGAGATCAAGTCCTGGTTCTCAACTGTGATCACACTTCAGACTGTAAACAATGAGTGAATTCTGGTTGTGTTTCAACTGCTGCATTGCAGAACAGCCTCAGCCTGTAAGTATGAATGTTAACACTGCTTTTTGCATAAATTAATTTCATTGTGCAGATTTTATGGATTTTTTATGCTTTTTTGAATTAATGCCATTTGACCAACTTCAGTTAACTTGGGTTAACTACTGGCTCAGTGGGGACAGAAGAATGTCTTCTGGATGGATGTTGCACATTTGCTTTCCCTCTTCTTAATCTCAGATCTGTCCAAAGTCTTTGAAATGGAAGCTTGTATATCTTTGAATTCAGTAGAGGGAGGAAAAGGGAAGGAAACGTGAAGGTGACCTAACCTGGTACTGCCAGAGAGCAGCTGGAAATCTGGACATTGTGACTCAATGTCCCCAGCCTGTCTTGAGGTGTGGCTGGACAGTGGTGAAAGAAGTTTTCTTAGAAAAAGCAGGGTGAAATCCAGTCCTTTTAAACATTAACTGAACTCTAGATTTCAGTCTTAGTTGTTTTGTTAATTTTTAGATAAAACCCGTGAATAGTGAAGGTAGTGAAGATAGCTTTTTCAAGAATTTGAAATAGCTGTTGCATGAAAAGGTTCTTAGTCACCAATTTGTTAGAAGAACCTAAGGGGAAAGACATAAATATTCTTGTGTTTCTTTGGAATATACATTGTGCCCAGTGCTGTAGGAGAAAGTTTGCCTGCTTTAGGGTGGAATTAACTAAGACTGTGGTTAGTACTTCAAGAAAAAAGCATTGCATTGCGTGACATCCAGGTCAAGCTAAGTGAACTTAAAGAAAGGAGAGCTATCTTGCAAATATGACTACTGAAGCTGCATTACAGTGACATTAGAGAAGCCCGAATGAGGGCAAACTCTCATTCATACACCAAGGGATTTTTAAAAAAATCTAACATCTGATGACTTCAGAAAAACTGGGTAGGAATTGGCACTTCTCAAAGCTTGAGTGCAACACTGATCCTTATGTGTCAGTGCAAATATTACAAATTTGACCATTAATGTTTCTAACCAATGAATGCAATATTATCTCAACCTTTGTGCATTAGAACTGTAGGAGATGAGATTTCAAATAACAACATAGCCAGAAACTCCCTTGAAACACACCTATAGGTACACAGAGCTGTTGGCATAGTTTTGGATTGTATATTTCAATTGAAATTAGATATGACTCCTAAAAATCTGAGATGTAAAATGGCATATTCTGTTTGTTTACAAAAATCTCCAGTCTTGCTCCTTATTAAAATCTTGATTCAAGCTTTGTGAAACAGTTAAGCTGTTGCCCAGAAAAATACATGGCATATTAGAGCAGCATGTAGTGATCTGTAGATCGTGACTCATGGTAAGGGTGGAGAATATATTTTGAAAGTGGAGAAGAAGGAAACAAGCCATTTTTGTAGATTTCTGTTAGGCTGGTGATATTTGTGATGTGGTGATTGCTTAGAAAATTAAAGTCATCCTTAGTAATTAAACTACAAACAGCACTTTGTTGAGCTTGTGCTTGAAATCAGCCTTTCAGATGTTCATAGAATCATCATAGAATCATAGAATGGCTTGGGTTGAAAAGGACCTTTAAAGACCATCTAGTTTCAACCCCCCTGCTATGTGCAGGGTGGCCAGCCAGTAGACAAGGCTGCCCAGAGCCACATCCAGCCTAGCCATGAATGCTTCCAGAGATGGGGCATCCACAACCTCTCTGGGCAACCTGTTCCAGTGTGTCACCACCCACTATATGAAAAATTTCCTCCTAATATCTAACCTAAACTTCCCCTATCTTAGTTTAAAACCATTCTCCCTTGTCCTATCACTATCCACCCTCGTGAACTGCCATTCCCCCTCCAAGCTAAACAATCCCAGTTGCCGCAGCCTTTCTTCTTCAGAAGGGTGCTCCAGCCCTCTGATCATCTTAGTGGCCCTCTTCTGGACCTGTTCCAAGAGCTCTTTGTCTTGTGCTGGCAGCCCCAAGTCTGGATACAGTTCTCCAGATAGGGCTTCACAGGAAGGCTCATGGCTGCAGGGAGTTCCTGACCCAGTTACTGCCCGAAGAGGGTGGCAGGGCTTCCACCTGTGTGAGATGTGAGCATGCTGGTGGATGAGCTGCTCAGCCTGGTGGTGAGCTCAAGGAGGAGGTGCAGAGACTAAGGACTATTGGGGATTGTGAGCAGGAGATCGACTGGTGGAGTGACTCGCTGGTGTGCCAGAGGGAAAGGTGCCAGTGAGATACCCCCAGGAAGGTAGTGGACCTCCTGCCCTGTCACAGTCGGACAGATCTGATTGATGAGGAGAGTTGGAAGAGAGTCGTCACTCAGTGTCATGGGAACCCCCTCCCCACCTACCTACCCTGCTTCCCCAGTTCCCACTAAGTGACAGGTTTGAAAAATTGCTGGAAATTAAAGGGGAGGTGAGTGGTGAGGTAATGGAGGGTCTGCCTAGGAGGGAACCTACAGTGAAGCAGTCATCCTCACACCTAGAGACTGCCTCTGTCAGGAAATAAGGAGAGGTGGTCATGGTCCCGTCTCAGAAGAACAGAGGGCTTCATATGCAGACTGGACCCAAGAAGTCAAGACATGTGCTGCCTTCCTGAGGCCTGGGTCAGAGAATAACTAGAAAACTCCCAAAGCAGATTCGGTCCACTGATTACTTTCCATTACTCATAGTTTAGGTGGGCAGTGATGAAATCGCTCAGAGAAGCCTGTGAACTATGAAGAGTTTAGTTCAAGGAGAGGGAGTGCAAGTGATCTTTTGTTCTATACCTTCAAGGGCAATGAGGGACACGGAGTGGGCTTGGAAAACACAAGTAATGAAAAACTGCCTCAGAGGCTGGTCATGGCAGAAAATTTGGGTTCATTGATCATGGGGCAATTTACTCAGCCTCTGGCCTGTTGTCCATGCATGGAACCCGCCTGTCTCAAAGGGGGCAATGAATCCTAGCACAGGAGCTAGCAGGGCTTATCAGAAGAGCTTTAAACTAGCTATGATAGGGAAATGGGACAAAACAGGGCTCACCAGAGATGAGCCAAAGGGAATGATGCTTGAGCTGGGGGTGAGGCAGATGACTCAGCTGAAGTGCATCTACACCAATGCACACAGCATGGGCAGCAAGCAGGAAGAGCTGGAAGCGATTGTGCATCAGGCTAACTATCACCTAGTTGCTATTACTGAAACCTGGTGGGACCACTGTCATGAGTGCTGTGATGGATGGCTACAGGATCTTCAGAAGGGATAGATGAGGAAGGAAGGGTGGTGGTGTGGTCCTTTGTATTAAAGACTGTTTTGATGATGAATAAAGTAGAGTGTCTATGTGTAAGGATCAGGGGGAAGACCTGTAGGAGTACGTCTTGGTGGTGGTCTGTTACAGACTACCTAATCAGGATGAAGAGAAGGATGAGGCATTCTGAGCAGCTTGCGGAAGTTGTGTGATCATCAGCACTCACTGCACAGAGGAAGCAGTCCAAGAGCTTCAAGAGGGTGAGCTTCAACCTGTTCAGGATGCTTGTAGCACAGGTCCCTTGCTCCTTAAGGGTAAAGGGGTCCAGGAAGCCTGGACATTCCTCAAGATGGAAATCTTAAAGGTGCAAGACCAGGTTGTCCCTGAATACCATAAAGCAAGTCGTAGGGGATAAAGACCAGTGTGGATGAACCGGGAACTACTGTTGAGACTCAGGGAGAAAAAGAGAGTCTATGCCCTCTGGAAGAAAGGGCAAGCTACTTGGGGAGAGTACAAGTAAGGCATGCAAGGATGAAGTTAGGAAGGCAAAAACCCAACTTGAACTCAGATTGGCCTCTGCAGTAAAAGAAAATGAGTAATCTTTTTACAAATATATCAGTGGTAAAAGAAGGATCAAGGCGAATTTCCATCCTTCGCTTGATGCAGCAGGGAATGTGACCACTGAGGATAAGGAGAAGGCTGAGGTCCTCAACGCCTTCTTTACATCTGCCCTTAATAGGCAGATCAGTTATCCTCAGGGTACTTTACATCCTGATCTGGAAATCTGGGATGATATGCAGAATACACCCCCAGTGATTCAGGTGGAGACAGTTAGAGAGTTCCTCCTCCATCCTGACTGTCACAAGTCCAGGGGACTGGATGGGTCCCATCCTAGGACTCTGAGGGAGCTGGCAGAGATGATTGCTGAGCTACTTTCCGCCATCTACCCACACCTCTGATTATCTGGATAAGTCCTAGAGGACTGAAGGCTTGCTGATGTGACTCCCATCTACAATAAGGGCCGCAAGGAGGATCCAGGGAACGACAGGCCTGTCAGCCTGATGTTGGTACTGGGGAAAGTTATAGAGCAAATCATCTTGGGTGAGATCACACAGCACATGTGTGGCGTTCAGAGGATCAGGCTCAGCCAGCACAGGTTCATGAAAGACAGGTCATGCTTGACCAACCTCCTCTCCTTCTACGACTGGGTGACCAAACTGGTAGACAAGGGAAAGGCTGTTGATGTAGTCTACCTAGACTTCAGCAAAGCTTTTGACACAGTCTTTCAATCACAGTATTCTCCTGGGGAAACTGGCTGCCCGTTGCCAGGTGACCCGTTGGACAGGTTACCCTTCTTTGGGTATGTAACTGGCGAGAGGGCCATGCTCAACAGATAGTGGTTAAAGGAGTTAAGTCCAGCTGGTGACCTGTTACAAGTTGTGTCCCCCAGGAGTCAGTATTGGAACCCATCTTGTTTAATATCTTTATTGATGACCTAAATGAGGGGACTGAGTGTACAAACTGAATAAGTTTGCAGATGCCACCAAGCTGGGAGGTGGTGTCGATCTGCCTGAGGGTAGGGAGGCCCTTCAGAGGAATTTAGGCAGGCTGGATTGCTGGGCTGAGGTGAATGGGATGAGGTTCAACAAGGCCAAGTGCTGGGTCCTGCACTTTGGCCACAATAACCACATTCAGTGCTATGGGCTTAGGGCTGAATGGCTGGATGACTGTGAAAAGGAAGGGGACCTGGGGGTATTGATTGGTGCTCGGTTGAACATGAGCTGACAGTGCGCTGAGGGCCAACGGCATCCTGGCCTGCATTAGAAATGGTGTGG